GCCTTTGGTTGGCCTTTGGTTGGCCTTTGGTTGGTCTTTGGTTGGTCTTTGGTTGGCCTTTGGTTGGCCTTTGGTTGGCCTTTGGTTGGCCTTTGGTTGGCCTTTGGTTGGTCTTTGGTTGGCCTTTGGTTGGCCTTTGGTTGGCCTTTGGTTGGTCTTTGGTTGGTCTTTGGTTGGCCTTTGGTTGGCCTTTGGTTGGCCTTTGGTTGGCCTTTGGTTGGCCTTTGGTTGGCCTTTGGTTGGCCTTTGGTTGGCCTTTGGTTGGCCTTTGGTTGGCCTTTGGTTTGCCTTTGAGGTCTCGATCTCAATGAACCAACCATAAAATTATCTTTCGGAGAATCGTGTTGTTAGTTATTAACTGCCAATGTGCTTGCCTAAGACGTTTTCTCATCCTTAAGACATATATCCTTTATTTGTTTTTGTGTTAATTAACATAGGCAGTTGAGCTGTTTTCCTTAAAAAAACTTGCATTTTAATTGCAAACCAGTCATCCGCTAATTGTCAAAGCTACTCTTTGGAGCTTGGAACTTCGTTTTTAAGAACTGAAAAATACGTTGGCACTAACCATGGGGTATACAGTATGGGGAATTGGGTTAAAGTCTAGCCCTGGTATGGGTAAGGTATTAGGGAAGATATTTTGTTCAGGAATTTTGGTACAGTTGACCAAAGGTGTGAAAGTAGAGTGTAGTGCATCACTTGGGGAAAAGTTTTGTCCTGGCCAATTTAGCATTTAGACATGAGCCAGATTTTTAGAATGTGGTTAGCAGTGAGTATTGACTGGGGTAAAAATTCGTATTTAAGAAGACTAGGGGTACAGCTGATTTATGGACTGGATTTAGGATAGAGAGCAAGTTATGGACTGAGTATAGAACTGAGACATGACCTGGGATTAGATTTTGGAACCTAACTGTAAAAGAGTCACCACTCATGATTAACTTGAATGTTTGTGTGACCATGATTAACTTGAATGTTTGTGTGACCATTATAGTATTGTTTCAGCCCCAAAGACAGAGACCCTTTGGAGTGGTTGGTCAAGGAATTGAAATATCTGAACACATAGCCTTTGAATTGAACCAGACTATCTGCCAAAACTCATAGAATATTCCTTTAAGTAGAGATAAAGTTTCTAAACTTATTAACACTTATTGAGCTCACATCTTGATAGACAAATTTAGTGAATTATGAATGGTGAACCAAGATAAAGTCTTAGTGTCATATATTTTAAATAAGCACAAGCTATTTTACTTACTAACAGACACTTTGCACTCGACTGACTGTCAGTTGAAATCTTCATTTGCAACTCTTCAGATAAACATCATAAGCACAGTCTCACCACAAAGATAGAGATCATTTATAGTTTACAAGCTTAAGGCCCCACAGTAATGATTAATTTAATTCAAAACACCAGGCTACTATTCATACCTTTCGCTCAGGAACCACTTCCCACATTACAACGTTTAAACAGCCGGGAATGTCTCACTAGGCTACACTTGACCCAACAGGGCATGCACCAATCGGGAAGGAATAGGTGAAACATGCGACATGTCTTCTCGCTACTTTTATTGTCAGCTAATGTAATCTAGGCTGCAGTAGCCGGTATTCAGAAGCCCAACTCGCTACCTTCTTGGTAAGAGCAGGTAGTTAGGGTCTGCACGCTAGACAATAAAACTATTAATAAATCACTATATATTATAGTGGGAATATTTTTTGGGGATCAGTTGCTGTCTGTAAATTTCAACGCGCCCACATAAAATAAATTATAAACAAATAACACACACCTTTTAATAGTGGTCATGCATGTATTTGAATGTACCCTATTGTAATGGAACAAAAAATTGCAAAATTTACATGTTTCATTTTAAATTTAAAATTAACAAATTCATTTTAATTCATTAACAAAAAGTGTTTTCATCATCATGTGTTACAATGTCGAAAAAAATCAATCAATTGTATAATTTTTTTTTTAATATTTATAACACATACTTGTTTAACTACTCGGGAAATTAATTAGCCTCTTAGTTCAAGATAAATATCTTGTTAACAGATGTTAAAGTAATTAAAAAAAAACATAGGCAAGGGAAGTTCTACTAAATTGATATGATGATAAAATGTCATTAAATGTAATGTCATGTTACCCCTACAAAATATACCCCTAATAAATAATAAGTGTGAGCCTTTTCTAAGTAAGTCGGACATACGCGTATAGATTCTTAAGCAAATTTATAGGCAATATGTGATTTTTTTGAAACAAAAGTCATTGCCCCAAGTACCTGACTGTCTCACGTTGCCCGTTTCATTAATCTTATTTAGCTTAAAGCGACATGTGTACAAATTTGTGTTAAAAAATACTATTTTGTGTTGAATTCAATATTTAATGATAGAAAAACATATTAATTTTATGAATAATGACTTGTTATGACCTTCATAGTGACTTGTGTGACTCCTAGGGGGACTTTTTATGACTTCCGTGGTGAAACCTTTTCTACTTTATGGTGCAGAGACATGGAGAAGCACTGGTGTGAATATGAAGAGAATCCAGTCCTTCATCAATAACTGCCTTAGACGGATTCTCTGGATACACTGGCCTGACAGAATTAGCAACCAGAAACAGTGGCAGTGGACAAAGCAGAAACCGGCAGAACAAGAGATCCCCAAGAGAAGATGGAGATGGATAGGTCATTCACTCAGGAAACCTGCCTCCAGCATAACTAGACAAGCCCTGAACTGGAACCCTCAAGGAAAACGGAAAAGAGGCAGGGCAAGGATCACTTGGCGCGGTGAAGTGGAAGCAGAAACCAAGAAACTTGGCAACACTTGGGGGAAGCTGGAGAGATTGGCTCAGGATCGTGATGCCTGGAGGTCACTTGTAGGCACCCTATGTTAGACCCTTGTAGGCGTCCTATGTCCTAGGAAGGATCACAGACGTCGATGAAGATCGGCTGCTTTTTCTCCCAACCAAGAGGTGACAGAAAGAAGATACAACTTTTATTTACGTTGACATGGAGATTCACAGTATAAAACAAGTATCAAAATTGAAATAAGATAATTGTCATGACATCGTTTACTTCCTAATCCAAACAGATGAACGGTAGTTTTTCGATTCAATATGCTTTAACTTAAATCAATGCGAGAGCAAATTCAAAATGCAAAATCCATCTTCACATTCTAAAACTCATCCTTCACCGTCCTTGCTTCCTCTCTGCGCATACAATTTTTCACTTAATCTTAAAACTAAAAAATAAAAAAAAACAATCTATTCTTATAGCATGAAGCTGTTACAGCAGCAAGAGACTTTTTATTGAGGCACGACGAAACTTTATAGGCAAAACAACATTAAAATGTGTTTCAAATAAATATATTGGTACATACTTATGTATCCCTTACAGTATGGGTACAATAATAAGACGCTTTTATATAATATGGTTTTTTAGTTGTGATGATTGTGTTACGCACTGCTATCCGTAAGGAGAAAGTAATCTCCTATTTACATGTATGGCTCGTTCTAAAACAGTGCATAACAAGACGATACTAAATGATAAAAAAAAAATAACAGAGAACACGACACTCAAAACAGTGCTCATTACAATTAATAAGAGCTATTTAGTTATCAACATAAATATAAAATAAAAAAAAATATAATTAAAATCATGAACTTACAGAGTATTGTGTTTCTTGTACCGGTACACATTTAATATAATGTGCCAAAAAATAAGGTACAATGATGTATATGAATTCACACATATAAGTAAACACTGACTAAAACACTCTTGTCTCTTGAAGTAAAAAAAAATCTCGTGATTTCTCTTAATCTGAATCCCCTTATATATATAGTCGGTTCAACCGAACCCATCTGGAAACGCCTTACATATTGTTTTCCTTTCTAGTTTTCTCCAGATTTTTCTACAAGAATCTGATAAATACAGTCTATTCATGTTATTTAGTTGGTAGTAAACAAGGCCAAAATCAAATGGAATGAGCCACGCCTAATACTAACGCAGCGTCTGCTAGATTTCACGCCACGGGGAAATATGACGTAAAACACAACGTCTGCATAACAATTTTTTTAATTTTAATTTTTTACTAATGAGATAAGAAAAGTCATTAATCAAAAATTATGTCAATTGTGTCCTGACTGGATTCCACAAAAAGTCTCAAAACATTAACGCCTTTCCTTAAGACATGTGATAACAGTGTTACGGAACCATTTACAGCAAAGATTATGTGCAACGTAACTTCTATTGGCGATGCATGTATATTAAAGGCGATTCAAATTTAAAAGAAAATGGCTTTCTCTTTTGAGAGCGATATTATTATATTTAAGAAATATCATTGTAGATAACATATTTTGTAAAAAAAAATTAAACATATTAAACTTAGCTTTTTTTAATGATGATATTGATTTGAAAAATTCAAGATAATCTGCATCTTGATTTCTTTTCATTTGAAACCTTCTTCATCGTATCGTCCAGTAATCTCTTACACTCGAGATATAAGGCCATTTGATCTAGTTTTAGCTGGACTTCTTTTCTGAGTCGGTCTTCGCGTTCATCCCTATCCGACATACATTTAAGGGCCAAATCTTGAGTTTCTAACACTTTTAACTGCAATTGTTTAATTTCCTCCTCCTTCTTAAGCAAAGCCTTGTTCTTTTCAGCTTGTCGGCTTTGAGTTCTGATCATAGATCTCGGTCTAGGTTGTGGTACTTTTGACCGTGCAACTTCGTCAAATTTTTTGGATAACTTTTTGACCGTGACAGTTTCGGAACAAGTAACCTGTATTTGATCACCATGATTTGAATCAATTTGATGGTCTTTATCGCGTTGGTTGCAAGTATTTTCCTCTGAATCATCTGTATGAATAACTTTTTCCAGAGTCGTTTCATCTTCATTGTCTTCTATCAGCTTGTGTTGCACCAATTCCTGAAACTCCAAACCTTGGTCTCTCTTCCTTGAGCAACCTTCAGGTGTTACTTTGGACTCATTTTCAATATCATATCGCTGTTGGGACCGATCTTGTGTTGGTTTGGCGAATTCCTCAAGCGAATCAATTTTATCTTTTATCAACGCCAAAATACCGTTCACTGTATCAACTGCTTGTTGGAGGATGCCAGTTCCTCTGTCTTTGTCTAAAATGTCACCTTTTAGAGCGTTTGTTCTTATGTTAAGCTCGTGGAGTTTAACTCTCTGATATTCCACCTCTAGATCTGAGATCTCTTCGAGGTCCTGCATTATAAAATTAGCTTGAATAACGGTGTCTTCCCTAATCATGGGCTCTTTGCACTCCAAGAAAAATTGCTCGCGTTCTGCTGCCATTTCCTCAAAATATGTATCAGTGTATCGTCTTCCCCCAGTCTGCAAATTATCAACGGTCTCAATTAAATTTTTAACTTGTTTGAACCTCACGTTTACGTCTTTTGTCTTGTTGTCGAACAACAAGACCCGATTGTTGCACTCTTGTAAAAGGTCTCGAAAAATACCGTCCTGCTCGTCACACCATTTCAAAAATAGTTTGTCCGGATTATCTGCCCTGAACATGTCTCCAGCTGTCACTAACAGTATACAGAAATTCTTGACAAAGTCTCGGCCAAATATGCTTTTTAGCATTTTAATGCAAAAATGCTCTTCAGCTGTAAATCGGTTCCCATATTTTACAACGAGCAGAAACGCGTGGTAGCCGGCGGGACTGAATGTTACCGCATGCTTCATCTTCTCAACAATGAACTGGGTGGCCTGGTCAAAGTCCTTAATGTTGTCTGTGTCCGCCACACCAGGCCCATCAACTATTTTAATGTAGCGGTCTTCGAATCTGACCCAATCGTAATCAACGTCCTTTGTAACGGATGAGCTGCTTGGCAAACTCTGAAATACATTCCGCCCAAGGATCATATTACCGGTTGCACTCTTGCCATTGCCAGTTTTACCAATCAGCAGAATGTCCAAAGGTCTCAGATGTTTGGAGTCACCACCAGAACACTGAAAAGTTGAACACACATATTAATATAAAAAAAAAAATATTTGAAAAGTTTAATACATATTTGAGTAAAAAAGGGAAAATCAACAACTGAATATTTAAAATGTATTGGTATTATTATGTCTACATAGAAATGTAATACCCGCTGAAAATTTGCCGTATCAAAATTTTAGATAAAATATATTTTTGTTCGTCAAACTTAATTTTTTTTTCTCATTGTTTTTTTTTTAAACTGCTTTCAAAATAACATGAATATGAATATTTACGTTTTAGACATAACCAAAACACAATTTTATTGTAAATGAAATACATATAGCAAATGTCTATGATAAATTTCAGAATTCTGTTATCGAAGAATACTGTTAAAAGCATGTAATATTTCACCTGTCCTAAGCACTAAATTCTCAGGGTCGTTTTTGACACCATTATCAAAGAAACAAGCTATTACACATACCAACCTATTAAAGAACAAAATTACACCTCTACCCCCCCCCCCCCCCCCCCCCCG